TTTTGTACTGTATTTTGAAACATTCTACAACTTTCCAAATTAAACCATGCTCTTATCTTAGAACCCGCGGTATAATTTACCCCATGAGAAGGGGTTCGGGTACATGGTGTCTAAATCAACAAACAGCCCATTACCAACACCCTATGCGCCAATGCAATTGCATTTACTTGTTGAATAGAGGTGCGAGATATAGTGTTTGTGTCTATACCTTGTATGTGGTAAACTTTTCCTCTGTTATATATAAAACAGCCGGAAAAGTAACAATTAAATACAGTCGACCCCCTATAACACTGTTGCTTTTTCCGTTTTATATGAATTCCATGTTGTACAAGTCACTTAGATTTTACATGAACTGTTCACAGCCCAGCACACATATTTGTAAAATCTAAGTGACTTACAACATGGAATTCATATAAAACGGAATAATCAACAGTGTTATAGGGGGTTCGACTTGTAATTTAAAATAAATAAAACTGTAAGAATTATTCAGCAATAGGCTATGTATATCCTATTGTAGTCTCGATTATAGAGAATTCTCAAAGCCGGAAAAAATTTGTTGCATAAGAACTAACGAAATTGCTCTTATACCAAGTCAAATGCCTCGATATAACGCTTTTCTAAGTAGAGTTACCCTGGTAAAGCGCTAGCGAAGACGTGTTTCTCCCATAAACGTTAGTGTTGTAACCGAATCATATGTAATTACTGTGCATTTAATGTGGTAAACTCGATTTAGTGCGAGAAAACGGTGGGGTTAAATCGAATAATGACGGAATTAATGTAATTTAAATGTGTTTTTTTTTTTTATTTTTACGGAATAATTATTAATAATTTAACTCGTTAATGACATTACTAAGCTACAGGACTGAAGGAAAATGTGCGAATGTAATTAATGAGATAATTATTATGTCGTTATTTTAAAGTACAAGTCTTAAAACTTATCCAGTAGATTATTACAATTTAGCAAATAATGATAAATGTAATTATTGATACGTGTTTATTTAGTTTATCCAATAATTTGTTTAAGTTTAAAACGCTAAACACCACTCCGTTTTGTTGATAATCGATGATTTATAATTGATTTCTTTATCAAATGATTAATGATAATTTAATTTTCGCCAATTTATAAAGGCTTATAAAATCCAGAAAATCGACTCCAATTATCGAGATTCATTCACAGTTCAATATTTAAATACTAAAACTACTAATTAGTTATGTGATTAATTAAATTATTAAAGATGTAATTAAATTCGTTCGTCATACATCGATATTCATAATGAATGAATATCTGTTTCAATTTTATTTGCGAATGGAATTAATCTACGATATTTTTATCAATTAAATTACTTAAAAAGTGTGAAATTTTCAGGTAATTTTCATGATAAATTTACTACATAAAAATTGTTTCGTCATTGAAAAACTTGCCAATGAATTAGCTTAGTAAAGCTTCATCACTGAAAGGCCTGCTAGTGACCAAGTGGATAAACCACTAAACACTAGGGTCGTGGGTTCTCACCTAACGAACGGGCTGGTCGCGTGGAGTTATCCTCGTTTTCTTCACGTATATAACACCTAAATAGGGACCATTCTCTACAGAAATGGCACCCCCCCCTTGGCAATTGCCCTATCCCATCATCACTGAGAGTTTCTATCAATGCATCACCCCAATGCATCAACATACGTGGAAGAAGATAAAATTAAACAGTCAGGGCCAAATTAATAAAGTCGTGAGCCCTATACATTCGAGACTGACGGGCCCCTGCACTTTACATACAAGTATTGTCTCGCAAGAACAAGCTTATTATCATTATATAATATGAAGATAGAAGAAAACAACTGCCCTTTTTCTTTGTTAGAACGGCTTTTCTCTTTCTTTGAATAGGACTCAATGATAAATGAGCCCATAGCGAGCCCTATTCGAGCTGGTAATGATTAATCATACCCCGTATCAGGTGATTTTGCTTAGAAAATTTGATCTATTTTTGGATAAATTTTTAAACACAACATGACTCAGGGATCACATTACGGAAGGAGAAAGTATAAATTAAATCCTGTGTATATTAATAAATAATTCTTTATGGAAATCAATTTTATCTAATTGATTTCTGTGCAGACATTTATCGAAAACAATATTTTACAGAATTTAATTGCGAAGTATTAATGAATTTCTAGCAAATTAAGTTTAATTAGAACCCATTTTAAAGTATATTAATTAAAACTATGCTTAATTAAGAATAGAAAATATACAAATCTAAACAATTCACCATCGGGTTTATGTGTTAAGCTCTGTGAAAGTTATATTAATTAATCACCACTGTATGCAAAAATATATGATTCTGAACTATAAACAATGCAAGCATACATAATGACACATGAACAAACATAACTATAAATAGATTTTNTACAGAATTTTAAAATAGTATTAATATTTAATTTTCGTCTGGTGTTTTCGGCTTTTCCGTCTACTATGCGGTTGTTCAGAGATTTGACTGTATAGGCCTACATATACACATACAGTAAACGCTCGATTATCCGGGATGGATGGAAAAATGTCATCCCGATTAATCCAGCAAAGTTCATATATGTAACGATTTATGTATAAGCAGTACAGTACATACGCGTACTCTTGGTGTAATTTGCTAACACTTGCAGCATTTGACATCATTTCTTCAGTTTTACAACGAGAAATTCTAAAGAATGACGTGAAATTGACGCAATGGTGTATGATAATACAGATGATCTGGAGGTAGATTTTGGGGGTGAACCAACGCACGTGCCCTCTGTCATTTTTTGGGGAATGTTATTTAATTACACCCAGAATTACTTTGATTACTTAGTCTTATCTAATTGAAGTCGTGCGATATGCGTTATTTTATTTATTTTTATTTTAGTGTAACAAAACCGATTGTTTTGATATTAAGATGGCGCTGTTTAGTACCATAAGTACTCCTGGTATGCCTCTGAATTAACGTAAAACTGTATATAATCTAAACCAATTCAAAATAAATTTTATGCTTGAAAAATTACTATTACGTTTAAACTTTAAAAAGTTAAATTTTTATCTTAAAACGATTACCTTTTCTTCTTTAAATTTACTAAACAATTAGACATAACAAGACGTATTGTACAAGATCGTTCCCTCCTCTAGTGACAAATTCTTAACTTCTACTGACATCTTGTGAGATATATTGCAATTAACAATTAAAGTACAGTACCTGTGACATTCACTCCTCTCCTCCCCACCCAGCTATTCTATGTATCTATCTAAATCCATAATGAATATGATCCACGATAGAGTTAATGGCGGATTACCATTAGGTCACTAAGGAAGCTCAAGCATCCTTTAGGTGCTTGAGCTCCCAGGCCCTAATAGGAAATCGCTTAATGGGTTTAAGGCCTAGGGGTGCAAGCGCTTGAGGACTCAAAAATTTATAATAATAACAATAAAATAGTGAAAAAATTTCACGAATAAACAATTCATAAAAGGAGTTTTCGCAAATTAAAAGTTATGGTAGTACTATTGTTATTGTCGATATTAGGTGAGCAACAATAAGAAAGAGTAGTTTCAAACTTCAATAGGCCCATTTGGAAAGATATCAATTTCTTTGCCTTATTTTATATGAGAGAGTATTTTAGGTAAGTGGACGTAGGGGAGAGAAAATATCTTCAGGATCAATAAAGAGGAAGACATTGGACTCCAATCTTCCATTTTAATGGTCCTGAATAAATAAAATAAGTAATTGTCTTGAAGATTTATTGCGCTACTCAAATGGAATCAAGAAGGATCTACAGGAAAGCTTCTATGCTAGAAGTCGAAAAGTGCACTTCGTAGATCAATTTGAACTTTGTATTATATTTGATACTCTTTTTCCACATTTCATCTTGGATGATGATTTACTTGGCTGTTGTTTGAAGTGTCCCGCTTTTGAACGTAAATTAAGTATTAACAATTACATTTGTATTAAGTATAGTATAGTCTCAGTAATCCGGCCGTTCACTAGTTCGACATGCCCAGTAATAGTCGACTCTCGGGTATTACAAATTGTATTATACTGTATAGACATTATTTCGGCGCACTTTTTATTTAGTCTAGTAATCAATACGTTCCTTGTACCGCGCTGTGTACATAGAGGTCAGTATTACAACTTACAGGCCTACTTCATTAAGAATACACTAACAGTTCTCACTAAATTTTGACACTTTCCTACTAGAAAGCCACGTAATATTGAGCCCGTGCTGGAACACTTAGTTAAGGTATTAAAGATTGTTAGGCTCATTTTAGGATGTTTAAAAAAACACAATATTGTATAAATATGAAAATCAGTACCCCAGAATTTCCCACCAAAATACAGTACACCCCACTAAATTTAGTGAAAAATTTAGAGAGAATCCAACAAGTTTGTGACATTGATTATCAGCGACGGCATCGCCTCGTATAAGTATTCCAATTTAATACAATATTACCTGATTCCAATAATCCGGCAATCTCCGTAATCCGACACTATTCCGGTTCCATATAATTGGATTACTGGGACTGTGTTTTACGAGCTTACATAATTAATATAGAGCATGCCAGTTACGCTAAAACAGACTTGTAAACAGAACATGGCTCGTTAATTGTTCATCTGCATAAAAGAGACTACAGTCTGTCTACGAAAAGAATCACCTTGGGTATTAACCAATGAGCAATCAGTCATTGATCGCTGATTTTATTGTATATGAAGCTCGCTGTATGAAATTGTAATTGACTGTTAAATGGATCGTTAAAATTCTTGAGTTATCATTTATATACCAGGTTATCGTAATTTCAAATATACTATTCGAGGCTGCGTAGAGATATTGATATTTAGCGATCTAAATGCGACCAACTCTTGTATGGTCACCTATGGCGACATTTCAGGATATGTTGAAGACATTTCCATAAAAAAATTAGTATTAAAAGTAATCACTATGTCATTTTTTGATACTGCAAGCATCGCACTAGTGCAAGTGTTGCAGCCATGTTTTGGGTATAAAACTGGCCCAACTGTAGAATGTTATCAGTTACATTCATCTTGTCCCATTTCTCGTGAAGCTGTAAAAGAAAACAATGGGAATTCTAAAAAATTGCCAACTTTTGACCAAATTTCAAAGTCAATGACAATGGCAATTTGCCATTGACTCTGCAATTTTTAAGAAAATTCTTAAATCAATGGTTTGTAATCGGCTCTGCAATCAAAGCTTTAAGCTCTGACGAGAATGAGAACTTGAGTAAGGAAACTGGACGTATGGACGGTAAAGGGTCACTGGTTCTTTGCTCCTGAGATAAGGTCCCAACCGTGTCATTCTGAGTTGCAATTGTATCATAGTATGGAAAGTGCAGAGAAAATTGATTCTGCATTGTAATCCGTATAAAATAGGGGTTCCCAAAGTGGTCGATATCGACCCCTTGGGGTCGATAAGAATTCTCCAGGGGTCGATTAATACATGAGGGTCGAAAGGGGGTCGATTAATACCAAAGAGGATCGATTAAATTGTCCAGGAAAAAAAATAGAATATTCCAATAAAAATTCGAAATACGGATATGATCAACAACATTACTGACTATCCTAGTTATAACTTGAGTTTTGCCTTAGCCTACGCCGCTTTAAGCTTGTGTTACTCTGTTTTCACGCATCTGGCAAATGTACTAGTGTTGCAAACATGTTATGAACGCTGGTAGTTCATTATACACAGACATACGTTGCACNACAAACATAACTATAAATAGATTTTTCATATGTGAAACCATACATAACATACATTTCATAGTTAATATAGGCTATATCATTAATATAAATAAATATAATTACATTAAGGATTAATTAATTATATATAAAGAGTGGTTAATATATAAGCTAATAATAAACTTAATTTAAATTTAAAATATTCAAATTTAACACAAAAGAAAAAAAAATTTAAGCGATGATTCATCGTAATTTTCCATAATAATCAATGCAAATATAGGTATATTACATTAAATTATATATATAACAGTGGAAACCCAAGTCCCACGTATAAAATTCTTATAACGAATGGAATAAATGTGATTTATATAAATAATTTTCGACTTTTACTTATAAAGAGAGAAAAAAAAAAACAATCGAAATATATTAATAATATTGGTTTCTAGGCTGTACGTTTGCTTTCATCGATGACCTGCACTTGACAAACCTGTAAGACAATACGACATTCTGACATTTTGAAAGCTGCAATTATAAACTCGAGCATAAAACTATGCTACAAACACGCAGTAGAATTATGCATTTTCTATACAACATAATTACCTGTGTTTATAACATTAAAAAAGCCCGTATCAGCTTACAACGAATAGAATTACGAATGATTTTAATGTATATATATATAAAACAAAAAAATAATTTATAAATTTAACACATTAAAAAAAAACTTACTTACCACAGAATAAACTGTAAATACTTTATAATTAAAGCAATTTCTATATATTTCTCAACACTTGCTCGCACTAGCGATCACGAAATATTCGCAAAGCTCGCTTCTAGTTTCTAACTTCCTTGAGCTACATACACAAACATACAAGAAATTTTTTTGGGAAAAGAACACAAAAACATGCCGTATATTAAAATTATACAAGAGATTAAAGTATTGGCTTACCCCCTAAAAAAATACAAGAAAAAAAACGCCCGGGAGGATGGTAAATATGGGTAGAACACAAGAAAAAATTTTTCGATCTAGTCATGTAAGCAACAATATTCGATTATTGTAGATATAGGCATTTTACAACGCGTAAGTACGCGACAGGCGCGACAATCAGCGACCTGTTGCCAAAGGACACACAACAGCAGAAGCAACCTTCCACAGCGACGCCATTTATAGCGTATTCATCCCCGCCTGGTGGTTCCTCAGCAAAGTTAAGCAGCATTTATCCACAGATAAGTATAACAGCGCGCGATACAACAATAAGTAAAAGGACTTGCAACAGAAACACAAGAAGAGAATAAACAAACAATTGGTAGCAATAATACTACAAGAAAGATACCAGCAGAAATCATATATATATATACATATATATGACACATATATATATATAAATATAGGAAAAGCTCAGTTGCCAACTCACCGATTTTCTTAAAGGCAATGAACTAGGCAGCAGGTGTCACATCACTTATATGACTCCATTTTTTGCGCGTTTTTATAGGAAAAGTAATGGCGGATATAAAATTAATATGAATTTATAATGGAAGTATTTGATGAAATTGACACTTACCGACATTTAAAACTGATGGCATTCGTACGCTTCTAGTATTCCATCTGCCAACTCTTTACTCCTCCGCCAGATTGTGAGGCGGTCTGTTTGGCTGCTTAGTAAAAGGCGATGGGTGGAGAAACGGACGACGGATGAAATGATGTGCGAAAAACTAATAGAAAAATCGATCTTTCTTGTCACTTTAACTACTTTCTATTCGCTGTAGTTATTTTATCATTTATAATGCGTCGTGCAATGAATTTAACTTAAAATATTGGCGCAAAAGATACCGTGATGGCCGCCGATAATCGAAATACATCTGTATTAAATGTATAAACCTTTTAAAAAAATAATTTAAAATTATTTATTAATTTAAAATATATATATATAAATATGTGTGTATTTAAACGATTTTTTTTTAAAGTGCGACCCTTCTAGAAAAGGTTTAAAATGAATTTAAAATAAGTTTTAATTGTTAACATTTCATTTTTTTTTACGTATAAAGTATATTTATTTATTAATTAACTCATTTATAAATGTGAATTTATGGGTATTTTGGTTGGTATGTGCATATTTAATGTGTTAATTATTGAATTGTATCTATAAATTGTTTTCCTTATTTTAAAATATATAATTAAATTTTTATAAAAGTAATTATATATATATTTCTTGTTTTTAAAGA